CCCAGGCCCATAGCTAAGAGGTAGTACAGCTTTCGGCTTTTGTTTTCACAAGCCGCCCCATTTTGCTTAGCCCAGCCATCCCATAACATTCGCCCCAACGTTTCCTGTTCAGAATGTTGCCCGCTGTCCTGTCCTGTCCTGTCCCCTTTAGTTGTGATTGTGACTGTGACTGTGTGATTCCTCTTACAAAATTTAGGGGCTACAGTGGTTCCAGGAAAACGGTTTTTGAGTTGCCTTAAAGCTAAAGCATGTAATTCCTTCTTTTCTTATATTATCAGTAGAAATTTTGATGATTTAGAGATATATCTTAAAGCAAAAAAAAATCTTCTTTTTATTGAGTAACTTAGTTTTAGACTAAATTTTGCTACTCTTAAAAGATTTGGGAAACATATTTACAGGAACCATACAACGCTTTCAACTTATTAAAAAGTTTTTAAACTCTCCATTTATCTTTATGTAATGAATACCTTATTAGCTTGCTTCGGAATTTTTCCTTTTGAATCTATATTTTGTTTTAAGTACCTAAACAGCAACATAATAATATTAAATATATACAAATTTAAAAGTCTTAAGCGAAAAAAGATTAAAGTTAAAACATAGTTTCATTATTTGGGAATAGAGTCGAGTCTTTTTTTAAGTCACTAGAAAAGGGAAGTATCTTTCAAAAATGTAATTGCGTATATGCTTTTATTTACGTCTTCTTTTAAATGTATTTCATATTAAAATATAATAATTTAAAGAATCTGTTGAACCCTTACTTACCAACGCCTAAAAAATTTGAAAGAAAATATTAGATAACATGTATTTAAAAGGTTGTAACACCTTCAATCAACTTTGCTGATTTCTGTATTTATGTATTACATATCTTTACTGAAAAACCCCCTCAATCGAATCAAACTCACAGCCAAAACTCTCATCCCTTTGCTCCACTGTTATCCTTTTTGGCTCGTTCCCTGGGCAATTGTGCGTTAGATTTAAGTGCTTTCGTTTGCCAGGCTTAATTTGCATTTTTATTTTTATGTTTTCATTGAAAGCGCCAGCATCAATGGAGCCCGCTGCTGTTGCCTGGCCGCTCGTTCGTTCGGTGGAGCACATTTGGCTATTCCTTTGTTTTTGGCTTAAAGTTATCAGTGTCGGTAGATGTACACGGCATCAACGGTAGCAGCAACAGTAGCAACAGCAACAACAGAGAACAACATGCAAAATGCAAATGTTTATTGGCCAAATGCTGAACGATCTCAGCAGCTTGGCTAAAACTGAGAATGGGCTAACACTGTTTCGGGGCCCCTTCGATGTTGCAGCGGCTGTTGCTGCTGCTGCTGCTGCTGACTGTTGCCTCTTTCGGGCCTTGCAGCGGGTGGCTGACTGCCACAAAGTTGTCGCCTTTTGTTGTGGCAGCAACCATTTTGGTAAGAACAACTAATCAATTGGCAAATGTGCCATCCGTCAATCAATTGAGTCTGTCCAGCTTGGCGCGCCGGTGGCGGTGGTGTAGGTCACACGACACCACACGAGTTTTGCTGCAGAATTGACTCGCATTCACTTTTGGGGCAAATAAAATGCCACCTTGGTTGTGAATGTCAGTTGGCCAATTTGAAAATTCATTCATTCAATGTGTGCTCTCGGTGACGACTGGCTGACTGACTGCCTGACTATTGCCAACATTTATTATTAGCCTTTCCCAAACTGCCTATTTTTGGAGCTACTGATGGCCACACAGCAGTGGCTACAGTGGCAGCAGTTGCAGCAGCAACTCCAGTAGCAGTAGCTTTAGCAGCAGCAACAACAACATGCCGCACATATCACAGCCAGACAAATTTCTATATAATTGCATTTGTCGCAGGCTCAGCAAAACCTCGGAGCTGCGAACCCAGATCGGCCATCGGACAATGCCAGGCATTATTTTTATATAAATTGCATGCCATTGGCCCGGCCCGGTGGCATTCCATCCGGCCAATTGAAATCCCAAAAGCCAAGAGCCGGGGCTGGGCTCGCTACTCGCTTCTCGCTCCGATTGTTTTTGCTTTTGCTTTTGCTTTTAGCCAGGCTCAAACTCAAACTCTAATTGTCATTTAATGAGACACGCTCGGCATTTGCGCACGACACACGACTATCAATTTGGCAAAGTTGTGTGCAGTAGTGCCATCGGTATTGGAATCGAATCGGAATCGAAGTCACAGATGAATCTGTTCGATTTTCTGACAAACTCGAGGTTAGCTTTTCGTCCTGCCTTGAGGAGCGTTTTTGCTGTTGCCATTGGAAGCTAAATTCAATGTTAATGAAGCGCAAATAGGAATGGCATTCCGTTTTAAGTTCTCTTTGATTAAGCATCACTAAGTCATATTTTAAATGATAATCTTTTTTTGTCAAAATCGCAGTTGTTCAAATATCATAACACGGCCAATAATGCATTAATTTTAATTCGGAAAGCTGTTCTATGCTAGTTTTTGTTAGGTTAATAAACCTGCATACTCAAAATAAAATTTAAGAAAATTCAAATTTCTACAAATTTTTGACAATTTTAACGATGTAAAATTTTAAAATTTTTAAAAAATTAAATTTTTGTCTGATATACCTAAATCGATTCGGCTGTTAATGCCGATCAAGAATATATATGATTTATAGGGTCGAAAATGACTCCTTCTCTGGGTTTCAGGCTTCTGACTAAAAGTACAATACCCTAAAAAACAATATGACAGACAATGACAATTAGTGTATCTGTCTTTTATTTAGTTAACTTGAAAATTTATATTTTCAAATGCAGAAATTTTAAAATATATTGTATTAATATCCGGGCCGTATTTTGTCTTTTGATTGGTGCCAAAATATAAATACTTGAGCAGAATAGTATAAATATTTGTGCATTTACATGGTGTCCCAAAATAATATGTTTAAATATGTTTGCAGGCAAGGAATTAACGAGTCTAGGATTTATTTATTGTTTTGCATATATGTTGTATATATCATGTAATAATTTTGTATTTATCCTATTAAAGCAAACTACTTAAACACACACATATCCCTTATAAACTAAATCCAAACCTTTAAAAATATAACTAATTACGTTGTTGAATCTTATAAACATTTCTTGGCACTAACTACTTGTTACCATATATTTGTTTTTTTTTTTTTTTCGTTAATATTTATATACATTAATTTCACTAGAAATTATTTAAACTTATTTTTGCGTATTTAATCCACTTGATTAATTGAGAGCACACCCTAAATATTATTTTTTATTAGGTGTTAATGCTTATTATAATTTCTGGGTCTTTATAATTTATGTGTATTTTTAGGCAATAATATTAAATTCAATTCTTATTTCTGGCCTTTAATACATTAAAATAATTGAATAGGTATTTAAAATAGTTTTCTATTATAGTTTCTTGGCACTGAAAAGGTGAGGTTATTTAATAAATTTCTCTCTTGATGAAAACCACAAATAAATACTCCCTGAAAACAACAAAGAAATAATCTCTCAAAACAACAAATAAATACATTCTCATCTAAATAAAGGCAGCCAGAAAAAACACCTCTATATTAACTAAGGCGCATATTATCCACTTAAATAATTGAATCCAACCCCAAGAGATTGATGGGATGGAAAAACTCAGCCCTCGAGTTGATGATGGGCTTGTTGCCAGCTGGATTTCAAGAGCCTCCGTGGCGCAATCGGTTAGCGCGTTCGGCTGTTAACCGAAAGGTTGGTGGTTCGAGTCCACCCGGGGGCGTATCAATATTTTTTTGCACTTTTTATTAATAGTTTCTTTTTCTTTTGTTAACAAGTAAAAAATCAAAATAGCTTCCTTAATGTTTTTGCGAATAAAACTTATATCTATCAGTTTTTGTGTGGCGAATTTTAATGGTACAATTAACAAAGTGAATTCGCAAATCGCTTTGGGAGGTCTCAGAGCTCGTCAAGAATTGATTAGATAAGTAGGAAGAATATATATTTAGATTTTTTATAGGCAGCTAGAGAGAGACAGGCCTAAGTGATTAAATCACTATATAGGGGCTTGATGGTAACCTTTACATGAGCAGCTCCACTTTCAGCCGGCTTGAGCTTCTGTTTTTTTTTTCTGTTTCATGAAAACCCGAGAGCGTAACAACAGTTGCACATGCTGGTTGGTGTTGCCAAGTATATCATGGCTACTTGGAGACAGTTTGTCGTCCGCTGGCTTTGCTAATTAAAATGTCTTGGTGCTGTCACTCAAAAGGCAGTTGCCTGGCCAGTGGATCAGGCAGACGACGACGGCGACGATGACGACGCCCATTTTGGTCACCGGCAACAATGCGATTTTGCCTTTCGCGTTGCTGCTGCTGCTGCTGTTGCTGCTACAATTTCATTGGAAGTCTGCAGCTGCAGTTGCAGTTGCAGTTGCTGCTGCTGCTGCTGCTGCAGTTTTGCGACGGGGGAGCACGGGGCGTATGCGCAATGCAATTTGCGATCTCCCTCACACAAAATGGCGAACGCATTGTTACAGTTTGCAATTATTTTGATTTATTTTTTTGTTGTGCTGTCGCGTCTGCCTGCCGGCTCCCTGGCACTAATCAAAATTAAAATGACGCGATCGATACACCAGACATGGCAATACGATTCGAGGATGATGGGTCTGCCCCAAGTCCCCCCTTCTCGCCGGAGAGCCAGAAATCAATATTCTAAATTCTTTAACGCGTGTGCACATTTAAGGCAACGCCAGCTCATTGAGATGCGTGCCGGCGAACAGCCTGGCCAGCACTTATACGCAATTTCGCGCCATATTTGGTTCAAACATATTGGTTGTTTTTTTTTTTGTAAGCTGCACACTTGGCCGGCATATAGAACAGGCCTGAGAGCAGCAGGCCAGGCCAGGCCTTGGAGCAGGATTGAGATCCCTGAAACTCACATTCTACCCTCCCCAACCAGGCGCAATCATCTTAAACCTGGCTTAGCCATAAGATCCACCAGACTGTTTGGCTGCATCACCACTAAATCGAATGTCTTTCTTGGTTATTTGCAGGATGAGCGATCACCGACTTCGTCGGGCAACGAATCGGATGATTCCTCCGATGTGGAGATGCCTGGAGAGGTCTCAGAGGTTTCGTCTGCCGCCAAGCTGCCAGCTAGCAAAGTCGAAGCCACAGCGGTCTCAGCGCCGGCAGCCACTGCCACGGCAACCACATCTGCAACAGTAGCTGCCTCCTCTTCGGGCTCCAAGCCGATGCCAGCATTGAACTATCAGACTGAGAACGGACCCTCGACGTCCACAGCGGCTGCAACAGCGGTTGTAGCCGGCGGAGGATCCGCGGCGGACAGCAGCAAGTATGTCTATCCGGCTGCCTCCTTTGCCAACATACCCCAGAAGATGCTGAGGCAACTGATACAGACAGGACATTTGCAGCTGCACGCCGAAGAGGGTGAGTCTTTCTCCTGCTAAGATTTGCTGACTTTATTATATAATTCCTATCTCCTTACAGATGGCAATCAGTATGTGACCATACCCCTAAGCTCCACAGCAGCCAACCTGATCAAGAGCAATAAGCTATCGGTGGCCAATAGTGGTGCATCGGGGTCAGGAACTACAGCTACAGGAACCGCTGCCAAGTCAGAACCAAGTGCCGAGAAACCACTGACCATCAAACAGGAATACGATTAGCCCCTCCTTACCAGCCACGTCCACTGCTTATCCAATACTGAGAACTGCGTTTATCCACACACTTGCCCACATCAATTTGAAAGATCAGCAGGACATAACCCACACACTTATACACACTCTCTGAAAGTCTATCCAAAGTTTCGTTTCATCATCCATCTAATGATGATGATGACGATCGCCTGCTAATTCTAAGTCATACTATATCTACTATATCGTATACATACTATTTTTTATACCTATACAACAAGAAAAAGTGAAGAAATGAAATGAAACCCTGATCACAATGCCCAGCGGCATATCTACGTATGTAAGTTTTAAAAGTTTTGCAAGTTATAAATCGTAAAGGCATTAAACTGATATATCAAGATGAATTATGATCGATGATAATGTTTGAATGAGAAATGGAAACAAGGATGACGATATGGATGTTCCTAAAACCGCAGAGATCATGTTGCTTTGTTACTAGTTTATATCGTTTTATTATACAAAATACAGAAAATATAAATATGAATCACTTTTTTTGCATAAAAAGAAAAGAGAAATTATGCTGGCCTTTAATTATTTTCTACAGATTAAAGTTAAGTTGCACTCTGTGCTTAATACTTGACTACTTAAGTCGATAAATTTATTGTTTAATCAAGTGAAATGGCACTTTGGGGTGCAAAGGGCAATGCTCTCACACCAGTAATTATGTACAGTATACATATTACAAGTATATATATCTCATAGATATAGTATATAGTGTGTATCTATGAGAGTGCTTGGATTAAGCACACTCACAGTATAAGAGAGACGGTCAAATGCCTTTTGGTATTTAGCCGCTTGATGGATGTGTCCGTGGTGGGTATTGTGCAATTGATTGATTGACGACATAATCTTATTGACACTTAACCTAATTAAACGTCGCTCATTACTTGCCGCCGGCACAGGTAGGTGTCCCAGTCGCTGCCGCTTGCCACTGCCACTGCTCGCCGTCTAGCACCTGTTACCGCTTATGGCCCTCGATTGGGGCTAAGGAGGCCCTCGTCTTACCCATTGATCTTTTCCTGAACGGAGGAGCGGTGAAGGAACGACGGACGACAAGTGCTTCCGCTTCGTCGAAGGCACTTTGCATGCAGGAGAACCACAAAAGGCGCAACGTGTGGCACATACTAATGGTGGCCACTACTTACCGTACAATGGACTCTGGACTTTCTTTTTGATATCAAATCTTGAGTTTTAATCTGAGGGAGAAATATTTTTCTACTGGTATATGTGATATTTACCTCTTATTTATTAGCTTTACCTTGTATTTATTAACTTAAAACCATAAGAACTTTAAGAAATCAGCTTTAAACTCACTTGGAGGGTATTAAAATTAACTTCTAGTTGAAAATTTAATCAAGCCTTAGCAATTATTATATTTCTTTTAATTTTATACAGAATAGTTTCCATATTTTACCAGAAACTGATAGGAAACCAAACCACTGTGCGGTGGATTGGCACGCGCCGCGGTTTCCGTGGTCTTCGTCTTTGGCCATGGTCTTCAGCCGGAAGCCGTTAGTTGTTTGGGTCATGTGGGCTTTTATGGCCAAGTGTTGACAGTGGAGACAGAAAATCAAAGGCTGAAGCCATCCATTCATCCATCTCTCTCTCTCTCTCTCTCTGCGGTCAAAGTTGAGTGGGTCACTAAACTTGGCGGTGGCGGTGTTTGCGAATGGAACCGCAATTAGCGTTTATTATGGCCCCCTACGAGTTGATTGACATTTCAGGGGGCTAGTCCTGACCCCGTGGAGTCGTAGTTTCTCTCTGTCTGCTTCTATGTTTGTCTGTGTTTGTCCTGGCTAGCCGCCACGTTATTAACCGCACCCACACGAAGCTCATGTGAATATTGATCCTATTCCGTTCACCTGTCCGGTCCTGTCCTGGCCAGACCGACGATTATTAATAATGGTCACGCGCGCGGAAAACTTTGCATTGCGATTTCTCCTTCAGCCGAGTCAGTTGGCTGTGTCCCAGTGTCCTGGCAGGTTACACTCTGTCCGTCTCTTTGGAAAATCCCAAGAAAATCAATACTAATGAGCCATTAAACGTGGCCTCAGCTGCAGTCGGCCGTAGTCTAATGAGCTCAGCGTCAGCGGCGGAAATTAATTGTTGAGTCTAACCGAGCGGCTGCAGCAGGAAATCACATCAGCATCGGCATCGGCATTGGCATCGTTTTTATCCGTCGGAAAAGGTAAAGGTAAAGGTAACGCCCAAACGGAAGTTTTAGGCGTAATGCCTTGCGCCTGAGCGGGTTTTGCATAGCATGGGCTGTTCCAGTTCCAAGTCCACAGCCACCGTAGACGATATCAAAGCCAAGCCAATTTCAGCCAAGTCAACGAAGATGGCCGGCCATAAGGAGTACCGTGAGTTAAGTGCCAGAACTATGTATAACATTTTAAGCCTGGCAAGTAACACTTTTCAGCTGCCTCGGAGGCCTTCACCATACCCTTGGATAATGAAAACGATAATGCGGAGGTGCCTCTTAATGAGACTCTAAGGCAGCCGCCGAAGAGGATCCAGCAGTTGATGCAGGAGGCGGCCAGTTGTGAACCACCCACCCTGGAGGAGCTGGAGGATAAGCAGCAGAAGGCGGAGCAGAGGCGCCTGGAGCTGATGCAGCAGAAGCTGGAGATCATACAGAAGAATGCCCAGATGATGATGCGGAGTCATGATCCAGAAGCTGCAACTGAAACAGGAGATGGAGACGAGGTAGCTAAGGAAAACCCCGAGTAGTAACTGATTCTTTTTCATTCACATTTTTATTGTTAGCTTTAAATTATATATATATGTATTACTATATATCGTAGTATATTTCCAAACAATTAGATTGTATGCAATTAAATCTGCTCTCATCATCAAAATGCTGTCCTGTTCTGCTCTGCTTTTGTAATCCTAAATATATATATAGGATATATATTTATGTCAAACCCTTTTCGCTGGTAGTCAAAAATGTGATCTATTTGGTAATCGATTCGAGTGTGAGATCGGCCCTGGCCGAGATTAAATATGTATTTCTAAAGGCTATATGTAGGTATTTGTTCGGATTTGTTACTTCGTCGGCTTGATCGGTTTAGTCGGATATATATATTGTGATTCTCGTACTATATATGCTTCATTCATTAGGATGTGTGTGCGTGGTTGGTTGGTTGGTTTTGTAAATCATGTCTTTTGGGTTTGCTGGTTGTTTGTTGGTTTTACTTTCTCATATTAAACGTAATTGTCGTATTCATACATATATATATAGTAGGTGTACTTGTATATATCGTATCGTTAGGTATAAATATGCGTATTGTGTCACAGACACTACAAATGTCGCTTTGATTTCGGCTTGATTCGCGTCTAATTCAATTCAATTTGTTAATCCTTCAATTTAGTTAGTTACCTACACACACTCATTAAAAAGGTTCTTTTCCGCTTCGCTAGACTCTCTTTGTTTCCGCTTCGAATATAGTATATATATATCGTAGTACCTGGATGTCTCGTTTTGCTTAAACTGTATGTATTTCTTTAAGTTACTCTCTCATATGCTTTAAATATGCTTGCGGTTCGTTATTACGTTATTTTAGTTACGTTATGTTTCTTTTACTTGGAATTTGGTGCACTTCGGAGAAGCATTTTGGTATTTTAATATAACTATGAGTTGTGGTACGATTCGAGGATGCTCTATATCTGCGAGGAGAGATGGTCCTGCAGTTGAGGCGACGGCTTGGCCACATTCAGCACAACCGTGTGTGGGTTATTCTAAATATCTAAATACCTAGTCTAGTGCCCAGTACCGTCAGCTTTCCAAAACAAACTACAAGGTATATTCAGGGATAATATAATAATAAGATATGCGGAGCAATGTTAACTGCCTCTCTGCAGATCTTATTACCATATTGTCCTTGATACACCTTTTCCTTGTCCTTGTCGACCATCTCAACTGGGCCATCTCTCCGATATTGGTACCTCGATATCTATTGCTTGTGCTACTGCTGTTACTTTCATATTCAATGGGTTTTTGTTTTACTTTTTTTTTGTTTTTTGGTTTTGTTTCTAGTTCGCCTCGTCAGTTACAAAAGGTTTGTTCGTAGTTGTTGAACCATGGTGGGTTACGTTCTTAATACATACAAATTATCGTTAGTTTATACATACATATATATATATATTCAGATATTTTTTTAGCGGTATGTGTCTACAAACTTGTTTTGTTCTTAGCACGGCTGATGCTGGCTCTGTTACATTTGTTACTTGGTTTCTCTACGCACATGTACAAAAAACTGATTCAAACTATCAAAAACGAGCAGTACAATCACAATATTCCCCCTACGATTAATTATATATATAATATAATATATAATATTTACCCCCCAACTGACACAACGAAAATCGGAACGAGAACAGAACGATTCCATTGGTTGGCCAAGGTGCAACCTCCTTCCGAGATCCGATCTGCGCTGCGATTCGTTGCCAGCGGAACATATTCCTCTTCCTACTTTGAACTTGTATTAAAGCTTTTTTGGTTTCGCCCGACTTCTCCAGCCTCGCCGCTAACAACTTAAGCTAACTCATTTGCCATGTGTATAATAATATATATGTTGTATATATATATAATATATATGAATTCCAAATCGTAATCCATTATATTTGTATTAAATTCTTCTTGCATGGAGCATGTGCCTACCTAACAGTACATAATCGCCTAACAAAATGGAATCTGTTGCTTTTTAGCTTCTTTTTCGCTTCTCTGGGGAACATGGCCAGGTGCTGGGAGGGAGGGCTGCCCCCTTCTTGGGAATCACTTTAAATCTAAGGATACCTAAATGAGATCTTTGGCATACTTGGAAGCAGTTGGTCGAACTTCTTAGGTTGAACATGGATTTAGGAATGAGAACTTAACCGAAGGAGAAGGTAAACCTCTTAGATAACAATAAACTAATCTCGTTTCCTTCAAACCTTTATCCTTCCAAATCATTGCTGGGCAACCCTCCCGGAATTTGGGATATTCGTGTTCTATATATATATATGTTTCTGTGTATAAAGTCGGGGGCTAGACATCAAAAAATCAGTACTGCTTGTCAATGGGTAATCACTAAGCGTAGTTTTGGTTTACTCGCCGCCGAACTCCTTGGAAACTTCTCCTCCTTAAACTCCTCCAAACTTAAGCCCGCACAACACTTATTGCAACTACTAGTAGCTTAACCGGACTCTGGGGGGAGTGTTGAACATGTATTAAGGTCTGTGTAATTATATATATATATATATATCTATAGATAGATCTAGTTGTAGACGCCGCGCACCATGCCCTCGCGATTGCGGGTATGCCACTTGCAGGTGAGGATCCGTATGTAGGTCCTGCGGAACGAGGCATTGCACAGGGCATAGCACATGGGGTTGATCGTCGAGTTGATGTAGCACAGCGCATAGAAGAAGTCCCACAGCTCCGTTGGTATGCAGTCGGAGCAGGTGGTTAGCGGCTTGATCAGAACCAGGATATTATATGGCGTCCATGTGATGATGAAACTAAGCAAGATGGCCGAAAGCGTCTTGGCCGCCTTCGATTCCTGCCGCTTCTCCTGCGATTTCTTCTTCTTTTTGGCCGCATTCCGAGCATTCATGAGGGCATGAGCCCCAGCCGCCCCGCCCACAACGCCACCGCCCTTGCCCAACTGCTTGGGTATAACCTTGGCGTTGAGGAGCCTAGCATCGTGCTGGGCATGCGACATCCTTCGTCCAAGTGGCAGACTGAACTCGGAGTCGCGCGAGGCCAATGGTCGTCGCGTGGTGGCCGGTGGCCCTGTCGCATTCGCGTTCGGATTCCCGCCCGCCGTCGTTGATGGCCCATCCTCGTGTATCATCTTGATGGAGGGTGCACAGTCGCCTTGCAGGCTCAAGGATGTCGATGCTGCTGCCGCTGCCGCCGATGCCGATGCATTGGCCCCATTGGCCGCAGTGGCCGCATTGCTGGAGGCACCATCGGAGGGCAGCCGGATGAGTATCGTGTATACGGAATCCTGGCTCACCGAACGCGAGTTGATGCGATTGATCACGGGCAGTGTGCGTAAGTCGCGTGCCGTTGCGGCACTTCCGTTTCCGCCACCGCCTCCAGTGCCGCCGCCATTTCCATTCGCCGCAGTGCCAATGCCGTTCGCATTGTGGTTGTTGTTGTGATTGTTATTGATGTTGCCATTGGAATTGGGGTTCGCAATCGCCATTGCATTCGAATTCACATTCACATTCCCACTGGCCGCACTCGCACTCGCATTCACATTCATTTCCTGCAGCTGCGAGATGGAGGCGAGCGGTGGTCGTGGCAGCGGCGTGGGCGAGACATCCGACAAGAGAATGCTGGGCGGTCGTACGCCGCTAACGCTGCCGCCCATCGAGTAGTTGTCCCGCATCACGTTCATCGAGGTGCATCTGTGTGTTAGAGGGGCGAGAAGGAAGCGAGAAACAGAAAGGATGTGGTTGGTAACGCATTTTAACACGCACACAGAGGTAACAGAGATACACATAATACATATATACATATATACAGAGTCAGAGATACATATACAGAGATGCAGAGGCAGGCACACGCTAGATACATTAGAGTGGACCACTCCTGACACTGACAGGCAACGTAACGAAAGCTGACAACAAAAACAAACGGCCCGGGGCCGAACTCAGGATGCAGATGCTCGTCTAACTGGCACACAAGGATGCACAGAGAGAAAGGGTCCTTGTGAAAGTATTTTATACATATTTCTTACTATTCTCCAAGTCTGTTTAAAGGCTGCCCTCTTCTAAGGATATTTATTTTCTAAGACTAAACTCTTTTCTAAAATTTTCTGAAAATATCTTTTAGATTTTTCCCAGTGCCTGGAGCTTACACACACACACCCCCCGTTTAAATGCGGTTGCGGTGACACACATGACTGCAAAGTGCGTTTTGAAATGGAAACAAGTGGCCGGAAATCGCAACTCAAATCGATTACCCAGTCGAATGCCAGTGGCACACATAAATTGAAACAAGTCCAGCGGTCAAACAGTGTCGCCCCATCCTAGATATATATGTACATAGATATATCTTTCAAATGCATTTGATTTTTTGGCGAAAATAACGCTATTTTCCTCATTAGCATACAAATTAGTATGCGGTTTTATTTGTAGATTCATCTGAAGCTCAATTTACGCTGATTCCTTTTAATTGTGTTTTGGCCTCAAACTGCATATTTAGTTATTTATTCAAAAAGCCATTAATTTCAAACTACATTTTGTGTTGATTATTCCCATATGGTATTTGACAAAATGTGCATATTATATGGTTTTTAGTTTAGTATTTTGTGGGGTTTAATGCAATATTTTCAGATGCAATAGAAATACAACAATTAAAAATTTAGAGATCCTGTCTTTAATTCTTTAATTCTATATAATTTTTTCTTATAATAATTAAAGTTCTATATATTAAGCTATTTCAACAAAACAAAATTCATGAAACTAACTTTAAACTAACAAAAATTTATATTAAAATACATTTTAGCTGAATATGACCAATGAACTTTGCATTATTTATATTTAAACTATGACTATAAACACTAGCACACTAACTGCCTGTTTCGTTTTTCATTCGTCTGTTGTAAATATACACATAGCCTCTCCAAACCCTGTTTAATGGCTTATAAACTTTTAATTTTAGTTTTGCAAAAACGCAAAAACCTATTTAAACTATACACAAACCAATCATTACGCTGTTCAGCTATTCAACCTTTCAACTCTGAAATGACTATTTAGTCGCAAAATTTAAATGCAACAAATGTGAATATTTCAAACAACAATTGCAATTGCCCTTCGCTCGGCATTAGGGGCATAAAGCTCACCGACCGTAAATAAGACAATTTAAATGCAGAAAGGACTCTGAGGGAGCATTGAAAACAAAGCTGAAACTATCAGTTATCTAAATGCAATTTCATGAATTAATTACAGCCAAAGGAATGAGCAAACTGTGGGAGTCCATGGAGCAGCATGACAGGCCAGGCCAGGCTCTTTGGACGTATGTAAGCCTCAATTAGTTTCCATCCAGGACACTCAGGACATCCAAACAGTGGGCGGGTGGTGCTGGTGTGCTTGTGTTTGCTGGTGCAGTGGTGCAAAGCCCTCCATCTACGTGGATTATTTGAGTGCTGGCTACTACGACTTTGATGGATTCGTGTGTGAGTGTGGATTGGGATGGGTGGTGGTTGTGGATGGTTGTGGGATTAAGAGTGGGTGCGGTGGGTGTGATAAAGGACCTGCTGCAGTTTCGTGCAGGATGGATGGCCGTTGGCCAGTGAAGGATTTCGAGTTCTCCCACATTCCGTTTGCCGAGAAACCCAAGCTTAAACCTATTGCTGTGTGTGTGTGTGCTTGTGCTTTTCGGTGAAAAGTGAAAGTGGTAAAGTGCTCTCTGGGTGCAATCGATGCGAACAATACACGGTTACAGGATACAGTGAGAGAGATGGGTGCGGTGTCGGCTTACTCGATATAGACGATTAAAGTTCAGAATTTTGATTGTTTTTACTACCTGGAGACGGAGCTTTGTAAAGGAGTTTCAATTGTTACTGGTGTTGCATACCCTAAATCAGACGGCTCCTCCTGTTCGTAGGCAAAGTCATCGGAATCCTCGCGTCCGGAGTGCCACCACGCGATGCACCACTCCTTGATGCTGCCGAAGCAGGTATATGACTTTTTGATTGTATTGGTGCTTTTGATCTGTAACCGAAACTTAATTAGCAATTGGATTAGAGAGGATCCTGCAGAAACCTACGCTTGATTTGCGTGAATGCATCCCATGGTACCCGGAATCGATGACCATATTGGTCATATAGACACTCTCCGCATCCGCTGAGCTCTCAGAGCGCGGCCGTCGCCAAGTGTCGTGGTCGTTGCCGCCCATTTGGGCAAAGGCCAGCAGTCCGCCAGAAGCATGATTCACCACTGTGTTCTCATCACTGCAAAAAGAATAGAAATTAAAAAGGATTTAGCTAGGATTAGCAAGGAATTACAAGCTCCAATCTTATCACCTGCTATTGGAACGCTTGCTGGAGTCCTTCTTGCCCGCCTGCAGATTTGGCAAATCCTTCTGCCGCTTCTTCGTCTCACGCCAAATGCGCCAGTACAGGAAACACATTATGGTCACCGGAAAATAGAAGGCCGCCAGTGCCGTGCCAAATGTAATGTACTGATTCGTCTCAATGAACTGTATGTAGCACTCGTCCTTGGGCACCGTTCGCTTGCCCTCGATATATGGCCAACTGTAGATCCAAGGAGGCCACAGGAGCAAACTAATACCCCAGGCGGCACCTATCATCACAGCCGCTCGATTGGTTGTCCTCTTGGCACGATATGTCAGCGGTCGGGTCACACTGAAATACCGATCGAAACTAATGATCAGCAGATTCAGCACCGAGGCGTTCGAGGCCAAATAGTCGAGGGCCAGCCAAGTGTCGCAGACAATCGGTCCTAATGGCCAATAGCCCAGAATGGTGGTCACCGCAAACAGCGGCATCGATATCGCACCAATGGCAAAATCCGCAATGGCCAGCGAGAACAGGAAGTAGTTGCTGATCGTCTGCAGTTGCTTGTCGATCTTAAAGGATATCATCACCATAACATTGCCCGCCACTGTCACCGTGCTCAGAATCGCCGCCACGAAGCCCATGACCACCATGGAGGCCAGTGAATACCGCGGTCCCTTTGTCTCAAAGCCCATGGTTCCATTCGTTCCATTGCCATATCCACCTCCATATGGATCATACATCCCACTGGCCGCCGTTGTCGTTAGGTTCTCCAGCAGTGCCGTCAGCAGGGTTGTGCCCGTGGGCGATAGACCCGCTGGACTACTTGTCGTCGTCGTCGTGCTTGTCGTCGTGGTCGTGGTGGTCGTTGTGCTCGTGGTTGCGGTTTTAAACAGCGGCTCCAGTATGCTGGGCGGCCCGTGGGCGGCCAACGCCAAACTCATCACTGGCTCCATGGCGGATACGTGATTTTATCTGCTCTGCAGTTGTAAGGATTACGATTCTCCCTCTCTCTCTTTCTCTCTCTCGCTTGCTCCTTATATCTCTCGCAATCTCTTGGAAACTCTCCCACTTGCTTGGTGTATATGTCGCTGGTCGCTTAGTTTGCTTTCATCCGCTGCTTATCCTTTTGGCTGCACCCACGCAAGGCGTTGGCCATTTCTCCTCCGGCCCTGCAAGCAATAAAAAAATGGGGTGTCAAATATGGGAGTTTAGCGGGGCGGACTAGGGGGGAGGGCAAGGACAAGGGCAAACATGGAAAGCTCTTAAGCAAATAAGGATATACTTGGTGGCTAATTCGGAATTCAAGAAAATATTTAGAGACATTTTTTTAGCTTCTCTAGGACCGTGAATTATAATAAGAAAGATACTATTAACTTACATTTTAAGAGATATTCTTTAGGAAACTGTTGGATATATAATTTATTCTTATCAAATTCATAATGGGAGACCTTCTTTTTACTTGATTTTGTATGGATATCAAAGTTATTTTTTTAATTTTCGTATATAATATATATTATTTAGCCTTAAATAGTTTTTATTTATTTAGTTTCTTATTGAAAATATAGTTTTCTTTTAAAGATTTTAAGTATTTCTTTATTGCATTCCATTGCCTTGACTTGTAATCTTCTACAATGTAATACTTTTTACCCCAATTCTCTATATTTAATACCTTTGTAGCACTTTTCCTTAATATAAGTAAACAAAGAACTGAACAACTTTTCCATCAGTCTCTCTCTTAAAAGTCTCATAACTTAGTCGCCTTTATAGACCCTCTCGAATATCAGTAATAAAAGTAAAATAGGTGCTTACGAGGCCAGGAGTGGCAAAGTGGCGCCAAGAGAAAATTATTAAATGTAGTTAATGGTGGTAATGTACACCGCAAAATGTTGGTAACAGAGGAACCAAGACAGAGCGCTCCTAGCGCGTGGTAAAATAATTACCTAGATGAAGATTCCGCTGCGGCTTAAAGCCGGATGCATCTCTAATTAAGATAAGTCATCTGAGATGGTTAGTACCAAAATATGCTCATAATGCCCAAGGACCGTGTAATCTGCTTAAGGGCTCATAGCAATTGCATGTGGCTGTGTGGGAAAATGCAGTAATCCCGGAGCGGAATCGTTGCACAGAGCTATTCTTAAATGGAAATGGTCAGGACAAAACCGGCGGATGGCAGCCATAAAGGCAACGGGCGAGATTTATGAGAAACTGTCCCCGTCACTGGCCTTTGATATATCTCTCCCTTCACATCTTCACATCCCCCTGGGCGGGATTGGCGGCGAGGAATCGTGGGACAAGGAAGCGAAATAATATATTTACAATGCCAGGGGCCTGACTTGCTTTGTCCTTTCTGCAAAATGACATTTTCTGTGTGATTTGTTTTAATGGAAATGCGAATGTAAATGTGAGCCCGAGTCTCTGAGTCTGAGTGTAAATGAAAATGAAAATGAAAACGGCTTGAATGCGTTTCCTTGGCAGGCCGCCCCATTTCCATATCCATCTGCCTTTCCATTTCAAGCCACACCCACAACATTTGTTGTTCGTTTATTACTGTTGCCAACAATGGCAGTGGCAAAAACGACACAAAAAAATACAATAAAAATAAGAAAGAATAGAAAGAAATAGCAACACAACGTGCAACAGTGTCGCAGTAGGAACTTGGCTCGTAGCTCCTGGCTCCGACACTTTGGCACGGAAATGTTCCAGGCGGCTTCCTCTGACACTTTTCAAAACTATTGATGTTGTCATTGGCCATATGCCTATACATATCGCCTTCATTTGGCAGCCATTGTGTGCGCGAAGACTTTGATTTGGAAAGTTCTCTGTTCTGTTTAATGAAAAGCCACGTTACGCATACGCCATGGATACCGGCCTGCCTGCCTGCCACCTGATTGATGGGCCAAGATACTGCTGGGCCTGGTGACTATGCCGTCCGTGATTGATTCGCATTCAATAAGTGTAAAGTTATTGTGTCCTAGCTAGGTCCATTGTCACTGGGGATTTCATACAAATCGGGCCACAAAAGGGTCAGGACACCAGAAAACTAAATTTCCCATCTAAGCGGATTTCATTTTTTTTGTCGGTTTCATTCAATTGTTGGGATTATTTTTAATTGCCCTTAAGGCTGCAATCAAAATCAATCAAAGGGATGGCAATTAAATTGAATGAAAGAGAAAACAAATATTGCGTATACGTAATATTTTGCACATTTTGCATTGCAATGATTACTGGGAATTGCATTGCATTGCCTACTTTTTAGGTTTTTCCTGAAAACTCTTTCAATTAAAAGTCCAAATTGTTTATAAATTCTATTGAAGTTGTAAAAAATTTCTGTCATTCCCCAAAGTGCATCATTTGTGAGATTCCACCGCATTGGAAATCGTGCAAATTAATTAACCAATTGTCGGTAAATACACTTCAACGGAATCTCGTATTTGCATAGCAATATTTTAAATTCTGATAGGTTTCATTGGAAGTGTGCAATGATTGTGTAATTGACCTCATGTCGGTCTCAATCAGTGTATCATTTCAATGGAATTTGGGACCGCTCTTGTTCTGGGGCTATTTATGGAAAACCCACCAATCGATGCCCAATTAAATGCAGCGTTAACCAATAAATCAATCAAAATCCGTCTGTTTATCTCATTGAAAACACGCACACACACACACCCACGCGTATAAATCAATTGCAAAACAAGCTAACAAAAGGGGGGAGGGAGCTATGGGACGGGCTAAAACCAATGGGGCGCCATAAATTGAGCCAACGTATCGTATTGACAAGAACCCAAAAACAAATGGAGAGAGCCCAGAAACATTTCCAATAAATGAAAAACAAATCGCAGGAGTCAGGAGTGCCGCCTGCCTAGCTATGTATGTATGTGAATGAGTGAGTGGCGGTTATATCCTTGTAGTAAGATGTTATTCCGTATCCGTAAGTATAGTTGCATCGTTACTTTCCGGCTACGTGATTTGACCCCATGTACCTATGGACATTTGTACCTTGCCCCCTGTCTACCTTTGAGGCCAACTAGTTATTGAGTGTACTACTCGGGTTGAGGTAACCGGATAGCTGTCTGCCGCATGTAACATTCAAATTTATCAGGCGACCGTCGGACCAACGGACCAACGGACCGACGGACCGCTCCTTGGCAAATAATCGAATTGAGCTTCTTGTTGCCGTGCCTCGCTTTTTGGCTGCCATAAAAAAAGGATTTATGGATTTATTATCAAATGCGTTGGGCGAAAAACACAAGTAACCATATACGCATTAGATATATACATATATATCGTATGGTATGATGTTACACACACACACACAACAGCACCCACAGGCTGAAAAGCGACACACACACACACAACCTGAGACCCGCGCGGATTTGTTTTGCCATTTATTAGGCTATTTTTATGACACGGCCACGAGCCGGAGCTAGAGAGAGCCAGTGGAACGATGGAGTAAACACAGTAAGTAACCGCTAATCAAATCAGGGGCAATGACTAACTATATATGCCTATATTATATACTATATTTATTTATTAAAAATGTTCGCCAGGTGCTGCGGAATTATGTTAACAGGCGACTCTTTGGACATTTCATTAAATTCACACGTTTAGTGATTGCGAAACTGGCTTTTATCAAAGCATTTGCTGCTAAATAAATAATAAAGCCAGTTAATTAGCTGTACAATAGATAATTGTAAATTTTGGCATTATCGCAGGCTTACTGGCAATCAGGTGATACAGTTCTTACACGCTCCTAGCAACCGGTGATTAAATATCAACTGAAATATTTATTGATTGTTGCCAAATGGCGCCAGAAAGTTGCTTTCATTTTGCTAATTAACTAATGTATAGAAATGTAATTGCTACTAATGAGAAATTCATGTGAATTACAATTGCCTTTGTAAGTGGGAAATAATGCATTCTACTAATTCCCTAATGCAGTTTCTGACAATTCGGCTGAATTTCAATTCTGTTTAATGCCTTTCGCAATAGGTGATGAAATCAATTAAGTATTAAGTTTATTACTTATTTAAATAGTCACAAGTACACATTCTTAGAAAGTATTTAAGTATTTAGTATTTAAATATGGGAAATTATTAAGTGTTTGATTTTGTATGATGAAAATGAAGTAATAACTGGGAAAGCTTAAGTTTTCGTTTCAGAGAAATATCAATAATTTTTTAAGCACTTAAAAAGTGATTTATAAAAGGTAAGAAAATATCAATAATAATAAGAAGTACCAGAAGAGATAACTTGAAAGATAACTACAGAAATTGGTTCCTATGTTCTCTGCTTTTTCTGTGTTATCCCTAAATTATAACTTATTTTTCGAGTTCTGATTAGCTTTACTATACTATATATTACTTTTTCCAGGCCACTATATATCCATATCTCAAACAAATCTTGTACAAACACGCTTTATTTCGCTTATATCAAGCTTTTCAATAAAGCTTCGTTTGTTTTCTGCTGGAATATGCTTCAAAAGAACTCAAAATTGCACATATTTTCGTCCTTAGTCACTTGTCACTGTGTCTGTGTGTATTTTTTGATCAGCTCATCAACAGTCGGCTTTATTTTGCACTGGATATATTTGGTTATTCGCATTTTTTGGGCTCTCGTTATGGGTCGCCTCCTTTTATGCGGGCTCTGTCAACGCTCACTCACACGTTTACACCCCTATTTGCACACACCTACACACACACACACTCTTTGCAAAGGAGAAGAAAGGCCAACTAGCTGCATACTTTTGTGCGCCCTTCGGTGTCTTCTTTGCCTTTCCGCTCCTTTCCGTTTCTTTCCGCTGGCTTATGTTAATTTTTGCGCGAGTTTAATTGCTTGCCACATGGCTGCTGATGCCAAGCGGATGCTGTTAGCTAGATGCCTGCTTGCCTGCTGCCAGCTTTCTGCTTTCTGCTGCTTTTGGCGCTTTCGAGCTGTCCGAGCCGAGAGCCAGGCCGCCTTTCGCTCTTACTTTTGCCTGGCTTGTTTGCGGAAATTGAATTGCTGGAGGACGGACCCTGGGTTTCACCTTATGCTAAGGGCTGTCCGCTAAGCATATTGCCATGTGTCCCGCACAGGGAAAAAATCTAAGCACCAGTAGGATGCTTCTAAGGATATTTAAGATTCTTGGGGATTCTAGGATGTATTATTTTCAATTCAATATTCTTAGAAACGCTGTATATTATTACCCCTACCTTTAAGTTCACTTTAGATCTAATTTGATTCTTTAATAGTAAATAATTGAAAGAAGACATTTGTATGTTTGTGTATATTTATACTCTTGAAGGGCTTTATCATTTTAGTCACAAGCTCGTAACGCTATGAAGGAATCATTTCCGACCCTATAAATTATATACATATATTCTTCATCAGCATGAACAGCCGAGTCGATCTAGTCATGTTTGGTAAAAAAAAAAATTCAAACATTTTCCGAAATTAAAAAATGTTATAATGTTGCCAAAATTTTTAATGTTTTAAAATTCTAAATTGAGTATGTCGATTTATTAACCTAATAAAAACTAACATTAAACAGCTTTCCGAATTAAAATTAATGCATTTTTGGTGATTTTGATTTCTCTAACAAATTTTACTAATATACTAATTTCTATATATAACGAATATTTGAAGCTTAGTTATGATCGATTTCCAATTCGATCTGATAATTGAATTACTGAACTTTCCTTTTAACTGGAATTACGTATCTTTATAAATTTGTAAACTAATCTTTAGACACACATGGCGTATACTTAATGTAGGGGTTTTACGTTAAGTATACGCCATGTATGCTAGATTTCTCTTATATACAAAACTATTTTTATACCCTTGCAGGGTATTATAATTTTAGTTAGAAGCTTTTTACGTCGTGAAGGAGTCGGTTCATATATATTCTTGATCAACAATCAGAAAAATCCTAGTTAAATTATAACTATCACAAAACGTATTTTATAAGGTTTCTCATAGTACAAATATCCTATACCAAGTTCTCACCTTAAAAAAAAAGTATAGTAAATATTTCACGATTTAAAAGGACCTTTTGCAGCTAGTAACTAGTTTATGGTTACTGTTATTTTTTTGTAGGGGGGTTTTTTGCCGTGCAGGCTCCGTTGTAAGATTTTTGCGAGCTGGTGGGCGGTGGTCGTTGGTCCAGGGAGGGGGTGTTGGGACAGGGGGGGAGGTGGCCTGAGCCGCGCCCCACCGACCTACTCACTCGCACAAAGTTTAATCAAAACGAGAGCACTGGAAACGGAAAAAGCAGCGCTGCCAACGCACGCATACACACTTACTTGCGCTCTCTCTCTCTCTCTCTCTCTCTCTGGCCGTAGCTGTTGCCGCTCTCCGTTCTCCTTTCACCGCTCTTTCACCGCTTGCCCTCTTGCTCTAACCTATTGCTTATTTGTGCACGCTCAGCATCGGCTTCAGTTGTAACGGTGACATCGCTGGTGTTGTTCTTGTTGTTGTTGTTGGAGCTTTTGCTTTTGCCTTTGGCTTTGCTTTTGTTTTTGTTTTTGCTGATGCTGCTGCTGAGGCTGCTGCTTCTTCCTCTGCTGCTGGCTCTGCTGCTGTGCTGTTGCTGTTGGTGTTGGTGTTGCTGTTTCTGTTGATTTTGGCCATTTGCCGCTCCCAAAAGTATGCTTTGTAATTTTTTGTATTGTGCGCGCACATCTTTGGCTCTGCTTTCTAGTCCTCCTCTGCTCCGCTTTGCTCCTTGCTCAGCTCCTGCTCCGACTGCTGCTGCTGCTGCTCCCCAGCTTCTTCGCCTCCAAGCTGTGCTGGCCTGCTCAATTCATTTCGCCTTTCGCCAATTTTATTATACACAATGAGAACTGCGACGCCGGCGTCGCTGCCGCTGCCCCGCTGCCACAGTCGGCGTCTACGCTGCGACGCTTTGCGTGCCCAAAGTTTCCACATTTAACATTGTAATCGGGTTTACTATTTTCGCCATATAGATAGATGAAACACGCTAGAACTTTGCACACTTTTATTTATTAATTATTCGCTATTATTTAATTATAAACTCTCATTAATTATTGCTTTTGGAATTCACTCTATGGCTAGGTAATAAAAACAGTTAAGCGTTTGTGCACGCGTCTTAGCTGCCTTCCGAATCGCTTCCCCTCAGCTTTTCTGGGGTTTGTTTTTTTTCGCGGCCAGAGAAGCTGTAGCGCACGTTGCTAAATCTCATCCGGGACTGAAGCTGAAAATTTCAGTTAAGGTATATAACGGTATGGCCGAAGAGAGACGAGCGGCCAAGCAGCCGAAGCGCTTGCCGAAGAGCCGCCGAAGGTGCCGAACCCCAAAAACGAACGGGAGAGCGAGCGCGAGATTCAGGATCCTTTTGTGCTGGAATTTGTGTTTGTTGGGCAACATGGGCGAGCATCCTTTGGCGAACACCCTCGCACAAAGGACATGTGCGTGCTCGTGTGAGTCTCTGTGTGTGTGGGTGGCGGAAAAGCGGAAAACTGCGCGCCTGCAGGAATGTCTCTGTGTGTGCGTTACGCTGCACAGCCGAAAATGTGCTGGCAGCGGAACTTAATGGAAGAATATGAATGAAAACGCCGCAACAGTCCAACAGCAAAGGGGGTGAGGTTGCAGAAAAGCGGTTAGGTGGTGTCCTGGGTGGTTAGTAACTTGATTGCACTGAGAAAAAATAAGATTAACTGAAGGAAACAAGGGAAATAACAAGGATGCCTGAGTAAGTATGTCCTATTTGTATGCTTTTTGCTTATTTTTATGGGTTTAAAAACCCTTATTTACGGCAATATCCCTCGAAGATTTAAAGATGATTTAAAGTGATTTAAAGAAGGTTATACTATGTTCAGCCTTCTTAAAGCCAATTGAAAGATGTTTCAATATTTAAAAGCAAGTATTCTCCTAGAACTCAAGTAAATCTCTTAAAAATATATAAACTCTCAACACTTGCATACTTCTAGATCCTTTAAGTTTCTTAATATACATTCCCAATGTTCTGTAGGGAATAGTTTTCACCATGCGATAAAAAAACCCCCTTTTTCAGCGTGCAAATTCCAGGTGGAGAAGGCAAGTCCGCCACGAGGCCCACGGGCATTGCTCAAGCATGCTTGCCGTGCCATCTTTTGTAGCTTACGACTGCTCTGCGCGCTCTTCATCAGCAGCAAGAGCCGCAGCAACATCTACACCGGCAATGGCATCAGCAGCATCAGCAACAGCAGCAGCAGCAGCAATAGCAACAGCAACATCTGCAGGCAGCAACACTAACAGCGGCAACATCAAGAGCCTGTGTCCGCGCTGGCTTTTCAATGGGACTTTGGGCGAATAAGAGTGGGGCGTTAGTGTGAGTGCCGCTGCGAGGGTGTTCGTGAGAAGTGGAAATGCTGGAAAAGCGCATTCTCACATTTCAATTAAATAATACCAGCAGCAGAGCATAGTTCACAATTGCCAGTTCAATGGGCGTACTGGGCCAGGACCCAGGACCTCTAGCTGGGGAATTTAGAAAGGAAGGAAAACAGAATGCCACAAAGAAATGTAAACCACAAAAGGGGGCACTTAAATAAATGTTGAGTTTGTAACTGTTGGATTTGTATTATTCCCAAAAAAAAATATATATATTTAATCCCAAGTGGTTAACAATTGCTTTTAGAAATATTTTTCATTCAAATATATGTAAGGGGTTTCAATGATTCCGGAGCAATTTCCAAACTTGACACTTTTTATAAAGGAATTTTATGTCTTTAGGATAACCAATAAAAATTAAACAATTCCAATAATTTAAAGGCATATTATTTAAGCTTTTTTTTCAAATAATTAATATGTATGTATAACATGTGAATTTTTGTGACTTTATTATACCCTTGGTGGGTATTAAAATTTCAGTCAGAAGCATGCTAAGTAGTGAAGTTGTTTCCGACCCTATAAACCATATATATTCTTGATCAGCATGAACAGTTGAGTCGATCTAGCTATGTAAGGTAAAAATTTAATTTTTTCTAAATTTTTAAAATTTTCAAATATATGATAAAAATTTAAATTTTTTTAAATTTTATATTTTATATGTACATATGTTAACCTATAAAATCCTAACATTGAACAGCTTTCCGAATTAAAATTAATCCCGTTTTTGGCTTAGCTATGAGTTTTTGAAACTTTGATTTTTAAAAAAAATTTTTAATATACCAAAAATAACGAATATTTAAATCTTAGTCATGATCGATATCCGATTCGATCTAATAATTTAATTGCTAAGCTTACCTTTTAACTGGAACTACTTATCTTAATACAAATTTAAACCAATTTTTAAGGGTATACAAATTTACAGGGTATTACAATTTTAGGAAGAAGTCATTCCGGTTTCTTTAAAACATTACGTTGTAACAGCACACTAAATAAAGCTTATAATTTTACTTTAAATATATTTTACGTGTTGATTTCATTCTGCTAAAAGGGTCTCCTAATATCCTAACTATGCAATTCTAGGTACTTGGGTGTTATAGCTTATCCCTAAGGCACCTGCCACGCATTAAATTTTACTAAGAACACGCCCTCTCATTTATTTCTTTAATTTTGTTACGAAACAATGCCTAAAAATGATTACCAAGCTCGCAAATGTAATTACCTTACAGTACTCCAACTTCGAACCCTTTGCCAATTACAAACTGGTCCCTCAAGTGCCTTGGCTTTATTAATAGCAACTCATGTTGCGTTTAAACTGGACAACAATGGATCTAACGCGCCTGACATGGCACTGGCACTGCCACTGCCACTGGCACTGACCCCCACACATCCACACCCAACGTAACCCGGCCGAGAGGGTGGCCCACATCCCACATCACCCATCCAAATCCTGGCAACCGACAGGCCCGCACATCCCCTTGGGCATGGCATGTGTTAAGGTCTGCGGATACTTTCTATATGCTCGTCATACCATACACCATATATATGATATAAAAATACATAAATGGACAATGCAAAAGGAAAGATGAGTAAGAGCTCTGTGCCGCTGGGAGGATGGGAGCGAGCGTGGAGGATGGCCGGCATGGATTAGGGCGAGAATTGATTGCGAGTAGGCTTGGGGAGTGAGGGGGTGGGGTTTTTTCCCCAAGTTCCAAGAACTAGTGCTGCAGTAAATGGCCAGAAATATCGAGTGCTGCTTGTCGTACAGGCCAATGCATTCATCCATATGCTGGAATTTTGTACTGACACTGTCGAGGAAGCCGGAAAATTCTTCAAACTGCCTCCCCGCATCACCCATACGCACCGTTGGCCATGTAATTGAAAGGCACAGCATGCCGCTGAACGAGAGGAGATGCCAAGCACAGTGGACAGATATTTTTGAGATGCCTTTCGAGTTCAGAAATTTGCTCGTTTAGATATTTTTGGTTGTGGCATATTTTCGACCGACAATTTCACTTTAAGTGCGATCCGGAGCGGAGTCGAGTTGAGTTACTGCAGTAAAGTTAGTGGAAGTTTCGTCGGCAAACTTTTCCGTTTAATCTTTGCTAAATTAAACTTATTTGTGCTGCAGATGAGCATATGGTTAAGAACCTTAGCAAAAATATGCACAAACTTTCTAAACTACCACTATTCCACAGACAAAGCGTTGAGTAATTAACATAAATATAATAGACACAAGTAAAGACTAAGGTTTTGTTGTCATTTTTCTATTGTTTTTTTAATATTTTTTTTTGTTGAATATTATTTTTGTTTAAATTAATATACATATATAGTATATATATTTATATAAAATATATATAAGCATAAACGTTTACAAATATAAATATCTTTTATCGTTACCCGACGGCCTCTCATTATCCATATCTCCATATCTCTTCTACGTCGTCTCACACAATTTGCTTTATGGAATCCCAAACATCTCACATATATTTCTCCAACTTTTGCTAAACTTTCCCGTGAATGTTGCTCTGTCTCTAAGTGTTTGCGTGGCTGTGTGTGTGTGTGTGTTGCATAGTTAAGATACTTTAATAGATATATTTACAATAGCGATAAGGTCAACAAAAAACTATTTGTTTGGTGTACGTATTTATGTGTGTCCATTTGTTTTACGGGAGTGTGTATTGTGTTGTGTTGTGTTAAACATAGATAAATATTAAGTAGATTTAATTCTGCTCGTGCACATATAACACATTTGATACCTAGTTATATACATGGCTGCATGTATAATCGTAGATATGATGACATTTCAACGCAGATCGATAGACATGTACAAGAGTAATAATAATAATAATAATAATAGAACAATAGGCTAACATACACACTGCAAGATAATAAAATTAAACTTATGCATTAGGCTTTTACGACACAAAAAAACTT